TGCATAAAAACCTGAAGTCTAGTGATCACTTTTCAATTAAATTTTTATGTTACCTCAAAACTGAAAAGAATTAATTTTTACACCGAATATATGTATTTATTTGGCAAAAAGGTTCGAGCATTTGACTAAAGTATCCCTTTGATTATTAAATTAAATGTTTAATGTCCAAACCTATGATCAGACTGTGGATCTTTATATTAGACTATAAACGTTGTGCATTGACTGCAAGAAATAAAAATTGCATAGACATTTATTCCTTTCTTGAATAATTTCAATTAGTTATAAATAATACGGTCAAATCATTAAGTTTTTCTAATAGCGTCATTTTTTTTGCTTTGTCTATTTATTTTTCTTATAAATGCATCAAATCCACCTATAACAATTCAAAACTGAGAATGATAAACCGATTTATGCAGACCATATTAATAAAAATGCGGCAGAAGAAAACGTTGCGGGTAAAGATTTAATAAAACACTTTAACCGCTAAAATTACATGGTTTGTTCGTGTTTAACTTTAAAGAGCTAAATCGAATAATTATAAACGGTGTTATTACTGTAATTATTGCATAATTATTGTGTAATTACATGCGGTACTGTACATTACGATAACCAGTCGATGAATCTTTACCTTATGTTGTTAAACGAACATTATAATTGTTTTGGAAGACGCACTTTGATCGTTGCAGGTTCCGATATAACAGATAAGAAAAAACTTATTATTATTATCCGCAATGAAATGAACAAAGGGAAGCATCGAAAAGATAATAACACAAATTCTGATATAACTAAAAATAATAATTCAAATTGGTATGCAGAGCTAAAAATAATAATACAGATTTTGACACCATTAACTTTTCTATTATTAAAAGTCGACGACTCGGAATAATTCCTGTAACAACTGTAATAATCTTTCCACGAAATTCAATTCAATAACTATTACCGCGTAGTTTCCATAGTCACAAATCGGTTCGTTTTATTTTCCTCGCGTACATTTTCTTGAAAATTGTGGCGAAAGATACGTTAACTGTGCGATGAATTTTTTACATCTTACAAATCTACGCGTAGAGAAATGATTAACGTTGCGGAAATAGACCGATAAAGTATTATGTAACGTAATTGAAATGTATTGTCGCACTCGTAATTGTCTCACTGGCAATAAGAGTCTCCTTCTGAGATTGCAGCGTTTCAACTACTTACAGATTTTCATCGTTGTCGTTATCGTACCCTTTAAAAGTGGTCGCGTCAATTTTTTGTCTCGTCAATGCCTTATCTTGCGTTGTGTAAAGTGTAAAGGCTATCGCAAAAGTTGCCACAATTCTCGAAAGTACAGATACTGAAATTTTTACGGGACCGCGATTGTATAACGTGTTTTTATTATAAAGTGTTTACATAGAAATGGAACAGTTGGCCATATAAAATTGTTATGCTCCAAAATACTCAACCGTGTATCTTTCTCCACGTATTATTAGAACAACATTTAGCTTGTTACAGCTTAAACAAATCCAGGTTTAGATTTACTCTCGGGATCGCAGCTTAAACAAATCCAATCTTAGATTCATTCTCGTGATCGCAGCTTAAACAAATCCAATTTTACATTTACTCTTGTGATCGCAGTTAAACCAAATTCAATAATTTAATTAGCAATACGAAGTCTCATTTAGAATAGTGACCAACAAATTAATCAAAAATCTGACCAAATATTTTAATGAGGAAGTGTAACTATTAGATTTGTACTTATTGTTTTTTAAGAAACTTATCTAATATCCATATTATATAATATCCACCAAAAGTATCCCATATAATGGAATGTAAATTACTATAGAGAATGGTCTGTATGAAATTCTAAAAAGCTGTTTTATTAGAAAATTGTTAGAGAGGAGAAGGAGACTCTTATCTTGTCTTTTCTTATAATTGTGTGAGACTCTTCGTTTCGACTCTGCAACGTTTTTGTAAATGAATGATCTTTCGATCTCTAGACTTTTATTTGTATTATTTGGCATATAATAATGTTTGATTTTCAATTGATCATTGCTGCCTAACTCGAATGACCCCTCGATTAATTTCACAATTGAAATATCATTCTCGACCTTCAGTAATTGTATAACTGATGTAACGTTCTATTTTATCTCACAATTGCAAATTCGAAATCTTGTGATATAATGTTATAAAATTTGACCTGATCTTCTGTCATCTACAGTAAAGTATAGTAAAACATTGCGATATAGTAAAGCTTCTATTTTAGTTAAACTGTTTCAATAAATTATTGTATAAAAATTTATGTATACGCAAGTAACATATTACGTAACTAGTATGTCTATAAGGTAGAGGTCAGCAAATTATTTTTGACGTTTGTATCCAACATCAATGTTCCACAAAATATCGTATAAAATGTAAAAAGTCATATGGAGTCAAAGTGATTTCACGTAGTACCAAAAAATACAAATTTTTCAACAATATTTAAATTGAAGTAATAAAAAATTAACATCTTCCTATTATTTTATATAATTTCCAAATGTCCTATTTATCTTTGTTCGAGAATATTATACTTGTGAATTAAAAAATTATGATTATATAAAGTAATTCAATTATAAGAAAAGAATTCAATGGACGATATGATCAAATTTTATTAACGATTTTATAAATAATGTGATGGTATATTTGAAGACTGAATTTTGGGAATCTATATAAGTCTTCGTTAAATGATAAAATCATTGTATTTGTTCTCAAAAGTGTTATTAACATGTGTAGGTCCCTTCAAAAACCAAACTTAAGCATCGCAACTCATCAACTAATAACACAGAAAATAAATTGATTACCCACCCTTCCTGTCATATAACTATTACGTAATCATTTTCTTCAGTGCGAACACACTTTACTTGCAATCTATCTAATAGATTTATATAATTCTGAAATCTATTGATATATTTACACGTACGTATCTCCAATAGTTATCCATAAAACGACTTTGAACGTTTCATACAGACCTTGCTTTGCTGAATTTATGAATGTTTTCCTTTACTAATCCTATCACTGACAAAGATCGCGGAAAATGTAAACGTCGAATCTAAAAATCTATAAACGCTATTGCAAATATACTATACGCCTTTTACTCTTCTTTTATACGTCCGTAACGATCAAATAAGAAGTGCATAGGGGAGAGTCGTGCAGTACCGGGCGTCTTGAGTTTTTGTGCTGTAAATTTGAAAAATGCAATTTGTAGCATAAATGAATAAAATTAATAATTAACAATATTTACGGTCTGCAATTTACGACGGTTGAGGAATTGTCGTCCAGTGCCAACCAACTGCATGATTATTATATTTTCAGATCGATCGATCGATTTATTAATAGCATTCGTAGAGAGACGTATGAATTCCAGAATAAGAAAAAAACGGTCACTATTAGACTGCGGATCTTTATGCATTTATGGCAAGAATGAGTATATCAAATATAAAACCGTAAAAACACTTGAAGAATTTCAAAATACTGTTTTGCATTATTTTCAACTGAACGAAATAATTTAGAGAAAGTAGAAATATCTACGTATAGTTTCTGTATCCCGCAATTAATTAATCCAAACCATTTTTGTTTTACATAAAAATTCGCAGTCTAGACGTTATTATCCTGATCCGTGCATTTGGCATGTGTGCAACTCGCATTTTTAACACACTATACCCAATTTTTGTCGAATGAGTCTTTGTAAATGACATGTTCATAACTTCATCGGCGGGATCGAATTTCTTCTTTCTTTGAGTCGTTTTCTTCCAAATAAGATGTTTTTTTAGAATTTATGAGAAAAAGTTTGGTCGGTATTGAACGATAATTGAATGGCTGATACAAAAGCGAGAAAGAATTTTTAATTCTTATAGGCAATCTGCAAAGAAAATATAAAATAACAGACCTACATTGTAATATAACTTTTTGTACACCGAATATCAACGTAAACGTTCGAGAACATTGATAAAATTGAAGTAAGAAGAATAGTAAAACAATAGTTTAAATTTATTTATATATCGAAAATACAGTAAATAAACTAACAACAAAATCTAGGACAAGCTTTGGTCGGTATTGTATAACTCTCCCCCCTCTTTGTAGCTCTATTTATCTGAACTCATCATTTGAATGCATTTTCTTCCTGTTGATAGCCAGTAATTGTAGATGTACGATGCAGGAATGACAAAGCCGATATTAAACTATTTAATACTTAACATATTATTCCTCTAACATTCCGTAACACAGTGAATCTGAATTAATACTACAGTGAACTATCCAAGAGCCACAATATCAATGTATATATATCGATCATGCCAGTTCTGACTCTATTCCTAAACACTTTTTATTTATTTCCATTAGCACTAATTTATAACTATGTTTATTTATATACGATATACAATATATACAACGTAACAAAAAGTCTTTCGAAAAATTAATAAACTGCTTTCGTTTGACAAACGATTTTTCGATCTGCCATATTACAGGTTATTCTAATATATAAAGTAAGACATTCAACTACTCTGTACATTATAATATACCTTTACCCAGAATTCCAATGTATTTCAAGTTTGTAATTAATAATAACAGGTGTTTTTATCAGGAGATTATAAAGGACCATGGCTACCTAATCATCATTTTTCAGTAGTAACGTACAAATGTAAAAGATATTTACGGTTAAACCGCCAAATAATGCATTGAAATGCTACACGATACAGGTTGAAAATAATATGTATAATATAAATGGTATTGACGTAGAACTTTCAATACGGCAGTTTTCTTGGTAAACAACACGTGGGAACAATTTTTCTATTATATTAAGTTTATACTTATGACGAATGTGTAGTATGTGTGTGCGTGTGCCTGTGTGTATGTACGTGAGTTTGCGTGTATGTGTGCATTAGATCGATTCACATTATCATAGAATAAATTAACCATAGTACTAGCCATAATGTTCGCTTCATTTACTCGAAAATCAGGTGACTTACTAAAATTATCCTTTAAAATAGTTTCGTGGCAGGAGTGATTCTAAGGGAACGGATCCCTGCATTTGAACGTATGCTGTGGCGAGCCTGTCGTGGTAATGTATTCCTACGTCAAGCTGAAATTGAAACACCTCTTGAAGATCCTTCGACAGTAAGCAAAAATCGACAATTTCATCGAGTACATTGTTTCCACCGAGAATGTTTCATCAACGTCTCACTGTATCCTTTTTAGGGGGACCAAGTTTTCAAGTCCGTATTTATCATATTCTTCCAAGGAGATCAGCTTAAAACCCGCGTGAAAAAGATCTGTGAAGGATTCAGAGCTACTTTGTACCCGTGCCCTGAAGCACCAGCTGATCGCCGTGAAATGTCAATGGGTGTTATGACCCGAATCGAAGATTTAAATACAGTTAGTCATTTTTCTCTGTCTGAATTATTTCGTAAAATTACATATACACGGTTCTCATTGATTTTGCACCACGCTCACGATGATCATCTTCTACGTTTTCTTAATAGCTTATTATTATACGATGTACAGGTTCTTGGCCAAACTCAAGATCATCGTCATCGAGTTCTGGTCGCTGCTGCAAAAAATATCAAAAACTGGTTTGTCAAAGTCCGCAAGATCAAGGCGATTTATCATACCTTAAATTTATTCAACTTGGACGTGACACAGAAATGTTTAATTGCCGAATGCTGGGTTCCGGTGTTAGATATTGAAACGATTCAACTTGCGTTACGTCGTGGAACCGTGAGTACCTTCCTAAATGTGACCATTTGTAATCAATGTCATTTATATATATATATATATTATAAATTGTGTTTGCTGATTTTCTGTTTTAGGAACGCAGCGGTAGTTCTGTGCCGCCAATCTTGAATCGTATGGAAACATTCGAAGATCCTCCAACATATAATCGAACGAATAAGTTTACGAAAGGATTTCAGGCATTGATAGATGCATACGGTGTTGCTTCTTATAGGGAGATGAATCCAGCTCCTTACACCATAATCACATTCCCATTTTTATTTGCTGTAATGTTCGGCGATACTGGTCATGGACTGATCATGTTCCTTTTTGGTGGATGGATGATACTGAACGAGAAAGGGCTTGCTGCAAAGAAAACAGACAATGAAATCGCGAATATCTTCTTCGGTGGTCGATACATTATTTTCCTCATGGGATTGTTTTCAATGTACACTGGATTTATATACAACGACGTGTTTTCTAAATCATTGAACGTCTTTGGGTCATATTGGAAAATTTCCTACAATTATAGCACAATAAATTCAAATGCGAATTTACAATTAAATCCTAGTAACAAAGATGAATACTACCAAATCCCGTACCCGATAGGAATGGATCCTGTATGGCAATTGGCAGACAACAAAATCATCTTTTTGAACTCGTACAAAATGAAAATATCAATCATTTTTGGCGTTGTACACATGTTGTTCGGTGTAGTTGTTGGATTGTGGAATCATATGTACTTTAAAAGAAAGCTTAACATAACTTGTGAATTTATCCCACAAATTATATTTTTAATGTTCCTTTTCTTGTACATGGTGCTTCTTATGTTTATCAAATGGATAAAGTATGGTCCCGATAGCGGTAGTGAGTATTTCCTTGAGTCTGATGAAAATACATAATATAATATCGTCTGTATCATCTATACATATCATGCTTTTTCATTGTTACAGAAACGGACCCAATACATGGTCCTTTCTGCGCACCATCCGTATTAATTACGTTTATTAACATGGTATTGTTTAGCGGTGGAACTGCGCCTGAAGGGTGCAGTCCATGGATGTACGCTGGTCAAGAAGGAATACAAAAACTTCTTGTAGTTCTGGCTGTTCTTTGCATTCCGTGGATGTTACTCGGAAGGCCTTTTATGCTAATGTACAACAAAAAGAAGCAACATGTCCAGGTAACAGAAATTTATGCAAAGAATTTTTTAATTCGTAACTTTTCAATCAGATGGATTATGAAATACTACGCTAACTGGAAACGTTTTACTAATAAAACTACATTCCGTTAAAGATGATACTGTAGTTTAATACCAAGTTTCAAGGAAATTTATGCATAGAATCTTTAATTGACAATCTTTAATTTAGAACTTTCTATTATCTACACGAAGATCACAGATTTAATCTTCAAATATTGTTTACATTGATTTAATCTCCAATTAATTAAATATTCAATACAGTATAATGAATATAATATTTATCAACCTTGAATATTAAGTTAAAATGCATATATTGTATTTAATTTATTAAGTATATTAATTTTTATTAATAATTATTAATAATAATTAATTATAAAAATAATTATTAATAATATATAAATAACAGTAATAATATATAAATAAAATAATTATTAATAATATATATTTATTAATAATTACTTTATTAATTATTAAACTTTATTAAGTATAATAATTGAATATTAATAGAAATTTCCATT